TTCTCTCTCTTTCTCTCTCTCTTTCTCTCTCTCTCTCTCTCTCTCTCTCTCTCTTTCTCATATAAAATATATTTTCTAATAAATTTTCATTAAAGCAGATTATTTGAATTTAAGAGCAAGAATTCCGTGAATAACATTGAATTATTTGAAATTTAAATCAAAAGTGTGAGAATTTCTAGAATAAATTTGAATTAAAAATAAAAAGCACAAGCTTCGCACACACGTTTTACGTTCTAGAAGAATTTTTCTTTAATAGACAAAAACACGCCAACTGATCCAGAGATGTTTGGAAAAAAAACACAAAGGACGTATAAGAAATATTCGATCACTATAGGCAGCACAACAAGATACTCTGTACTAATGCGGGAATTCATACTTAATTATACATATTCAGTTATGAAATGTGATACATGAATCTACTTTATTCATTATCTCATGCATCATATTCCGTTAGGAATTTTCATATCTTACAATATTTGAGATAAAATAGTTAAAAATATTAATTATATTTTAAGCTGACTATTTGATATTAATATTAATATCAAAAGCAATATTAATATCAAACAATATTACTCACACTTTCGTCGCAAAGATCACCTCGTGGATACATCGTTCTTTCCTTCACAATGTGTACCTAAAGAATGCCCAAAGGGAATGAATTTCTCTCTCAACGAAGAATAGAAACACACATCATAGTAACAAACTGTATCACAAAAGTCTCTATAAGTTTACTAACAGCATCATAAAAATTCGGTCTGTAAAGTTATAAATCGGTCAAAGCCGGTCTCACTCTTATTTTATAAATTGTTTACAATTTTCCCCTTTTATTTATTTATTTATTTATTTATTTGCTAAACAACAATTAAACGCAATAATGACGCCTGTTTGTACAGATCAAAAATTTTATTTACATTTTACATTTTTTATAATTCTTTCAGCTTATATATACGTTTTATTGTTAAACAAATTTTCAAAGCTTAATGTACATATATAATTCAATCTGTCATCAAAATATACTACAGGCTAATAGAGCCAAGCCCAATTAACGGCGTAAGAATTGCTTCTAATATATTCAAAAATCCATGAAATTTTTAAACAAGCATTTCTGGCTCATTAATTAAACCTAGTTATTTTTTAAATGTGACTGAAATCCCTGCAGGGATCACGGTCACAAAAAGAATTGGACCTTTTTGCATTCGTGCGTCATGAGCTTAGGGGTAAACGGTGACGATGGCGCTTATAGAGAGATGAGTCGAACACCACGATTCTCCATGGTGGCTACTCGATGAAATATTCAACGTGCCCGCGGGCTACGTCGTCATTGCTTTTGTAGGTACGTAACCGCCGCCACCGCCGCCGCCGCCGCCGCCCCGTCGTCGCGACGCGCCAGCGTCGTTGTCCGTCCATCGACCGGATGTATTATTTTTCTTCATTTTCTCGACAATCGTACTCTCTTCTGCACACATTTGCAATGGCTCGATAGCACAAATGCACAAGCAGTGTATTCAAACGTTTTGCAACTCCTATTCGAACGTGCAGAGGCATTGTAAGGTCATAGACAAAAAACTTGCGACACTCTTGCTTTCGATAAGTTTTGAAATGCACAAAACGATCGCACGATACAAATCGATGCACGTTCTGACATTCTTTTTCCGAGGAAAAGTGCCATAATATCTATGTTTGTCATTTTATATAACTGACGTAATTAATATTATTTATAATATTATCATATCATTATTTATAATATCATTAATATAAATTAATATTACAATTATTTGTCAAATACTTTAATTTTTAATGTTTTATTATTTAGAAAATAATTATTGTTAATTAAATACATAACTTTTCTCCGCAAGTTTATAATCAAGAACAATATAATCGAAATTATTCCGTTCGCTGTGATTCAAACAACTCGTTTTTGCACAAGATACTTAACAATGACGCTGAAAAGCTATCCACGCTCTGAATTAA